CTCTTCCTTCTCTTCTTCTTTCTCCTCTTCCTTTCCCCTCTTCTCCCTCCCCTTCCTCTCTCCCTACATCCCCGTTCCCCATCTCCGACCTCCCTCTCTCTCCCTCCCTCCTAACGCTATGTCCCCCTAGTTAGCGTGCTTTTTCGGCCCAATTCTATCGATTTTGCAAACGATAACATCAACCGCGGGTCGATCATGCGACGATATCTACCAGTCCCCCCATCCCCACCCCCACACACCCTTCAGATGAGGTTGAGGGGGGGGATGGGGGTGGAACGAGAGGTGGGAGGGGGGGAGGGGGAGTAGACATGTAGATTAAGGTTTCCGAAATCATGTTCCGAAAGCTCACCAAGTTGACAAGTTCTCATGATGTTATAACTAAGTGTTTTCGAATTTTTATTTTCATATTGATAGGTTTGTGTTACCAGTGGCTTAGCGATCTTTAACCAGAGAAAAATATTAAGATTTGAGACATAAGAGACATTCGGAAAAGTTACAAGCAACGACGATATCCGAGAAGAGATTTTATATAAAAAAAATACTGATAAATAAATGATTGAATAAATAAATAGCGCCATACTGTAGTCATTCCTAAATGACACCTCGGCGCTTGGCACAAAATCTTCCTGGAAAGTTCTTTGTTCTACAAGGTGATAATGGCAAAGACTTTTTTTAATTTTCAATTTATAAAATGACTGACCATCAATTTGACTTGAGTGAATTTTATTTCGCCTAAATATTAGGTGGATCGAAAAAAGAGGACAGAGGGGATATAGTAAGCGTCAAACTGATGTGCATCTTTACAATCGTATCTTAAATAATTCCTTAATTAAAAGAGTTAATTTCTATCGTTACTTCGTTTCAAGGGAAATACATGAGGGGTGTTTAAATCGCGCTAAACGTATGACATTATCACAGTAAGAATCGGTTGTGTGGGATCCTTCAAAGTGTCAAGTAACTGCAGTCGTGACAGCTGGGGCCAAGAGCGAGGTGTCAGCGGCAGAAGGGAGGAGGAATGTCGCCGTATTTTCGTTATTTATTTAATCAAAGTTTGGTTGTCAAGTTATCTGTGATATTTATATTACGCAGTCGATGGGTTTTGTGAAGAAACGCTGAAGAGATGAGCGTTTATATCAAGTTGTGCAATTAGCCGATGCATTTAAGTGAAGTGATTGATTAAATTTCCATCAAGGAGACATTCTTCCCTGCCGACACCGCCCCGACAGCCGCTCTGTATTGCTGATTATGCAGCTGCAAGCTTCTGACGAAAGCTTTGACGGTCACAGAGATATTGCTTATCTCTACTGATAGCCAGATGGTTTGTTTTAACAACCGCTTAAACTCTGATATATTTATTGAAAAGTGACGTGAAACCATGTCTGAATGATAGCAAGATTGTGATACCACAGGCCAAGCGACATACATGCCTCTTGTTGCTAAGGCCGGATTTGCTTTTTGATAAGAAGAGAACAAAATGTGGTCTTTTCCCAGATTTATTTTTATATAAAAAACAAAATAAGATTCAATAACAAATACATGAAAAATATACATATACTACTAAATCTACCAGATCATAGTTTTAACAAAAAAACAGAGAACCAGATGCATGTTGGAGAGATTTCAAAGGGAACAAAACTGTTATTCCTTGGCCTATGTGGAAGTCTCCTGTTAGAAACGCGGCAGTTAAGTATTTCGATGTTTCCGGGAGTTCTGGTTTATGAAGTTCAGGGTTTATAACGTAAAGGGTACATGACTTCAGGATATGTGCGTGCAGGTCGCCCTCGTCGCCGCCTCCTGCAGCGGGCGGCCGGCGACGGTAGGGGGGAGGGGGGATTAAGTATTTTTTTAGAGGGTAAGCCGAAACGGGATTAAATTCTGCCATTGTTGTTGTAATTTCCACGTGAAGCGTAACATCATGATAGAAGAAGAGCTGACAAATTAAAAAGAGTTATTCTTTTCTTTTTCTTTTTGGTCTTAGAAAAATATGAAAATATATTTCTTTAGAAGTACATCCAAGGCTAACAAAAAGAATGAGAGACAAGATTAGAAGCCCGACAACGGTTACTACATAAAACATGGGGTTCTGAAATGACATAATAATAGATGCAAGACTGCAGAGAAAGGAGACACACACATAACGAAGCATCGGGGTATATTTCATAACAAGGGATAATTTCCGATTACGAATTCCGGCCCCGCTGGAAGTGGCCGCTAAACCCTCTCTCTCGACAAGCCATCTGCCATACCAATACCAGATAAGCTCACACAGCTCAGGACTCCACAACGTACCTCATTATTTACGTTTTTCTTAACGTCTACAGATTGCTGCTGGGTCTACCTGCAGACTCTCCACACACTGGACATTCACACATTATTTACAGGGGTCGGGTGGGCGAGGTGTTGAGGGGATCACCACCCCCGCCCACATCAGAGAGGCGTGGTGGTGTGGTGGTAGAGCGGCGGCGGGTAGTAGCCCCCGTGGTCGCCGCCCATGCCGTGGTGCGAGGGCGTGGCGGTGGACGCAGGAGGGAGAGGACTCAAATACCCGCCGTAGGAATCCTTGTTCTCGGCAGCGATTATGGAGGTGATGCTGAAGGGGTGGGCGGGGGCGGGGTAGTTCTTGAGGTGGTCGTAGTCCTTCAAGTGGCCGCTGTAGTCCTTCAGATAGCCGCCGTAGTCCTTCAGGTGTCCGTTGGAGTAATCCTTCAGGTAGGCGGAGGCGGTGTAGTCCTTCAGGAGGGACGGATGGAGGGGCGGCGCGGCGTGCAGGTCATGGGCGGTCGGTGTGCCGAGATGGGCGGCCTGATGCTGCTGTTGCTGTTCCTGTTGTTGCTGCTGCTGTTGCTGTTGTTGCTGCTGTTGCTGTTGCTGCTGCTCAGCGGTGTATTTGTCAGCCACGCTGACGGAGGGCGGCGGCATCTGGTAGCCCGTCTCCGGAGGCTCGAGCTTGGTGGCGGCCTCCAGGAGCTGGGTCATGCCCGACACAGGATCGCTCGGCGGAGGCTGCTGCTGGCTGACATGGGCGTGGTGGCCGTTGTGCAGGCCGTGGCCATGGCCCGGCGAGGCCAGCGCCGTCTCCATCTTGGAGTCGGCCTCGTCGCTGCTCTCCTGCTTGGTGGGCGCCGAGCTGGGACTCTGGTGCTGCGTCTGGCCCTGGTGCGGCGTCTTGGTGGAGCGCAGCGCCTCCTTCTTCTCGCACTTGAACCGCTTCTGGCGGCGGAGGTAGCACCCGTTCTCGAACATGTTGCCCGAGTCGGGGTGCAGCGACCAGAAGGAGCCTTTGCCGGGCTTGTCGGGCGTCCTGGGAATCTTGATGAAGCAGTCGTTGAAGGAGAGCGAGTGGCGGATGGAGTTCTGCCACCGCTGCTGGTTCTGCCGGTAGTACGGGAACAGGTCCATGATGAACTGGTAGATCTCCGACAGGGTCACCATCTTGTTGGGGGAGTTCTGGATGGACATGGTGATGAGGGAGATGTACGAGTAGGGCGGCTTGGCGTGCGTGTACGAGCGTCGGTACGTCTTGTCCTGCCGCGCCCTCTGCAGCGCCGACGAGACGGGACTGTCGGGCTCCTGCAGCTCCCGTCCGTACGGCACCATCTGGTTCATGCCGCCCATGCCACTCATACACCCACTCATGCCGTTCATCTGTTGCATGGAACTGTTCATGGGCGGGAATGCCCCCATGCCCGTCATCCCTGGACTCATACACTGGCCACCCATGCCCATGGCCCCAATACCTGTCATGGAAGACGAGAAGTCCATATTGGGCGGCAGGCGCTGCTGGTACGTGTTCATGCCCATCATGCTGTTCATGGAGTTCATCCCGTACGTCGTTTGCGACATGGGCGACACGGGAGGCGCCGCCGAACTCATGGGCGTCATGGTGTCACTGTATAACTTCTGGGACAACATGGTGGCCCGCTTCACAACACTACTGGAGACACTGTCTACACGCACCGATCACGCACTGTACATATTCCTCCGGCGGGACTTGTGCAGGCGAGCAACAGGACACAACAAAACACCGTGACTGTTGTCGCCACGGAGGGTCACGCCGGCCACACGCAGCTCAACAGGTCAACTAAGGTCGCGTAGCCAACACTCACAGCACAGTTCACGGCGAGAGTCTACGGCAAATTGAATGACCAAACACTTATCCTAATCATATGTGTACGTTTCTCAGTTTAACTTGGTCTTGTTTAATTCTGTGATCAGCAAAAGTACTTGTAGCACTCACAGACAGTAATAAGCGCACGGTTGGCCCTAACCCTGAGTAAATACACGGATGTTTGGGCAGAATAAAGATGCTCCGCCCCGTGAAGTGACTACGGCGAGAGCGGGGATCTGATTGGCCGGGAGGAACCGATGGGCGTCACCGTCCAAGCTACGCTCCTCCCTCCTGCTCGGTCACCCGGCAACGAGCGTGAGGGGGCGGGGACTCTCTTGGCTCCTCCCACCGGCGGACGTACGCGAGCAGCCCGACTCGAGCTCACATCGGCGCACAGTCCCGATACGCACTGAGGACGCAGCGAGGCCGCCGAGTCGCTCTCGATCATTGCAAGCGTCGCCACCAGTCTGGTTCCGAAACCGCCGGTCCTCCGCTGCTGGCTGGCTGGACTCCATGCGCAGTTCCCCCCCATTCCGTAGCGCTTTTTTGCTTGTTGCTCCCAAGTACATTTCCGGTAATTCTAACATACACCCGCGAGTTTATTACGGGTTACACATTTCGTTAACGATTTAGGTTAATGCGCGGCACCGAATCGCGAACGCAACAGCTCAACGTAACTTTACCACGGGTTTCCCTTATCGCCCAAACTTACTATGGTTTCCGAGTTCCATTTAGGCTTAATTCTCGGCGCTTGAAACGGTCGACACCTGCCCCGTTTTAAACACTTTTCTGCGTCCAATGTTTATCGCCGATTTTTCGTTTCTTCTCCTTCCGTCGCTTTTTGTCCGTCGTGCGGTCTTTCTCGCAAACGTAATTGTCGTATTTTCCTTAT